GAGAACTCTGTAAATTTCTGTGTCCCTATCCATGGCCATGAAACCTTCTTAAAGAGGGATGTAGGAGGTCGTTCTCCAATGTTCGGCTTCCTCCTGAAATCTCTAAAAAAACGTGGCCCTGTAATCCTGGGAAGTGGGTGGTTATTTTCTAGCCGTTAGATAACGACACTTTCTCTCTCTAAGAAACCTCCCTTTTTTAGTGAAAAGCATTAAATTATAAGAGAGAGAAATATTGCATGTTTAAAGGCCCCATGGCCACACACACATACCAACAGAGGTGACGTTCAGAAACTAATTCATTTCATTATAACATTCAAATTGGTGAGATGGCACTAACATTATTTGAAGTTTACGAGATATTAGGATTGACTGTGAATGGCGACCCTGTTACATGTCGTCCAATTAGTGACCTCTTAGAGTTCATAGAAACAATTTGGGTATAGTTTCCACTAGAGGCAACTTGGCAATCATGAAGCACTAGTGGTTGAAGGTCGACTTTCACACATTGCATCTGATCCAACCCTTTTGCAAGTTCTTAGATATACCCTAGCCTACGTGCTCTTCCTCATCAGCGTCACTATTTTCGCAAATTCATTGCTTGCAACAGTGCCAATGAGGTATTTATAATTCTTTAAGGATATTGAGGAAGCCAGCAGATATGTTTGGGATGCTGTAGCCCTCGCATATCTATATCGTTTCTTTGGAAAAGCTTGTACTTTCAAGCGAAGACATTTTAATGGTTCAACCACTCTTATGCAGGTAAATTATAATTTTGTATCTGACATAAGTATAATAGTTTAGATTACTTTTCAAAAATAATTATTGCTTACCCTATCTTGATATAATGCAGTGCTGGTCTTATGAGCATATTATGCATATGACCCTAAAATATCAAGAAAAATATCGGGGGACACACATTTTTTGTAACCCTAAATATCAAGAAAAATGCTCCTTTATGTTCGTGTGTTAAATTTTTTCACAAGAAAATTATCAGTTATTCAAAAACCGAAATGTTTAAATTTTCGGTTTTTGAGCAATTGAAATTCTACCTATTTCGGTTGTTCAAAAACCTAAAAAGAGTAAAAACGTCTTTTTAAATTTTTTTTGTTATGAAGTGAAAAATGGACATTTCAATAATAACAGAAACTATTTGGTATTTTGGCAATAACAAAAATTCTAACAAACATATACATAATTTTCCCTAAATAAAATGGAGATGAAATTTTATGATTTATCTTTAGAAGAAAGGAGTACGTTTTTTTTTATGGAGAACCCTTTGAAAGGGAAGATATAAATTGCAATAGATGGATTTTGGTTGAATAGAAAGATAATAGTTTGACGTAGAGAGAAAAAGAGAGTTGTGTCTCTTGTTTACGCTTGATGGTGTGCGAGGAGGTCTTGACTCCCACACCTATATTTTCTTCTTGCTGATTTCTTATCAATTTTTTTGTTTCTCTCTCTAAAACACAGTTGTATTTGTCAAGTATCGGTTGCCGATGAATTTCAATTATGTCAATACTTAAGAACTGAAAATACAAAAAAAATTTATGTATGGAACTCATCTCTTAATTTGTACATGGATCCCAAAATTTCACTTTAATAACATCTTAAGTTGATTTTTTTAGCCAAGGGAGCTAGTGTCGTCTCGGACGACCACCGTATGCACACTAATGCCGAGAGAGCATTATCTCGTGTTTCTTGGACCTTGAGAATTTACAAATCTCAACTGAAAAATTAATATTTTCATCCCCGCGCTCAAAATTGGCGCCGTGGCAATAAAGACTGAAGTGCAGATGAAAAAACGGTGGTCCCTATTCACCACCAAATTTGGTAGCATTTGATGCACTTTCCTTGCCAAAATAATCATCAGGACAGTTAAATGAATATGCAAAATTTTGAATAAAAAATAGAAAATGTTTTGATAAGGTTATACGAGCAGCTGAATAAACGGTGGTCCCTATTGAGAACTAAATTTTGTGGCATTCATGCATTTTCCTTGTCAAAATAATAATCTAGACAGTTAAATGATCGCACAATTCTGAATAAAAAATACAAGTAAAACCTCACTTCAAAACCTTCAAACTGAACATATCGGCCTTGAGCATTATGGTTGAGAAAAAAAAATTAAGAGCATCCATTTCGCTCTAAGCGTTCACGGATTTGTAATATTTATACATTTTTTAAGCTTAAAATTTTCTAATTGGCGATGGAAATTAATTTTAGAGCGGTCATAAAAAAAATTGATATGAGGCATACTTTATTTTCATAAAACCTAGGCCTTAGTTGTTGCTTCAGAGCGAAGGCCACCCACTAAATGCTGGAGACAACTTGCCGATAATTTCCACACTCACTCCCCTGGGCACGACCGCATTTACTTCAAACTTTAATGAACCGCTTATTGAGACCAGCTTTTCGACATTGATTAGCTCAACAACACGCATTTTATTATTAAATATACGTGGTATCCTTGAGCGGCCGCCTCCGGCTACTACATCCATCCATCTTATTTCTCAACAATTTTTTTTTACATAAGCTGGGATCAGGCAATTTTTTAGTCCCTCAGGGAGAAATTACAAAAAAGAGATTTTCAACAAAGATGTGAATTAGGAAGGATTGGTTCATATTTTGATATAGATACCATGCAACTTTCTTTGATTGAATGGTGAGGCCTAACCATGCACCTTCAAATAGTATGTTAATTCAATATTAAAAAACTTTATAAAACCTAAAACAACTTTAAAAAGTTAAATCCTATTTAAAAAAGTAAAAAAAAAATACATTTTGAAAAAACTATTAGAGTTTGGGATATTATAAACATTCCAAAAAAGAGATAAAAAGATAAAAGAGATAGGGATAATTACAAAAAACACCCTAAAATGGACTATCTATGTAACTTACCCCACCTCAATCTTTTCTCTCACTTTTTTCCCCAGAACAACCTTTTCTCGCAAAAACCCCCCAAGGTAAAAAGTTGTTATTTTTGGATAGAAATGTCCTTCTCGTACAAACCAAAGCAGTTCGTAGGTCCCAGGTAGTGTATTGCCGGAGCGTGTCTTTGCACTGCCGGAGCACGTCTTTACACTATTGGAGCGCGTTCTCATAATACCGGGGCGCTCAGACCTGTATTGCCGGAGCGCACATTCAGAATGCCGGAGCTCTTGTTTATACTGCTGGAGCGCGGTCCTCCATTGCCTAAGCATTGTGGCTCTAGAGACTTTATTGCTGGAGTAGAATGCTGGAGCGCGTCTTTGCACTACCGAAGCGAGTTCTCATAATGCCGGAATGCGTCTTTGCACTACCGAAGCGATCTCATAATGCCGGAGCACTGCGGCTCAGACCTGCATTGTCGAGGCGCACATTCAGAATGCTAGAGCACGTGTTTGTACTGCCGGAGCGTGTGTAAAAACAGGAGAGATAAGGCCGTGTGAAAAAAAACAAGGGTAGTTTAGCATGCTACTTTTGGGTTGGGGGGTTATTTGCGAGGCAAGGTTGTTTGGGGGAAAAAAGTGAGAGAAAAAATTGCGGTGGGTAAGTTGCATAGATAGTCCATTTTAAGGTGTTGTTTGTATTTTAGGGTGTCTTTTCACTACTGGAGCATGTTCTCATAATGCCGGGGCGCTGTGGCTCTGATATGCACTGTCGGAGTGCACATTCAGAATGCTGGAACGCTTGTTTATACTGCCGGAGCGCTGTGGCTCCAAAGACTTCATTGCCGGAGCGGAATGTCGGAGCGCTGCAACTCCGACCTGTATTGCCGGAGCGCACATTCAGAATGTCGGAGATTGTGTTTGTACTGTTGGAGCGCATGTGAAAAGAGGAGAGAGAAGGCCATGTGAAAACAAACAAGGGTAGTTTAGTCTTATCTCATGCTACTTTTGGGTTAGGGGGTTATTTGAGAGGAAAGGTTGTTTGGGGAAAAAAAGTGAGAGAAAAGATTGGGGAGGGATAAGTTGCATAGACCGTCCAATTTAGGGGTTTTTTTTGTAATTTTCCCAAATAGAGATATTATGGAAAAAATACTCATAATTCTTTTTCAAAACATCCGAATCATATACAAATAATTATACAACAATCCAACTTTTTTAAAAATTTTGAGAACTTTTTTGAAATTCTTTTTATTTCTCCCGAGTTGTACACTCAACTTGGAGAAACTTGGCCTTGTCCATAGCCGAGTTACACAGCCAAGTCCAAGTGGGCCTCGGGCGAGTCACGGCACACGAAGTTCAAGTTCTGACCGGCGAATATTTAAACACTGAAAACTTACATGGCTAGCAAATTGATTCCCATATTTACACTACTAAAGCACAAAACCAAAGAATGAGACAAGCATTTACCAAGATATATTCCGACTAATGTGGACATATCAAAGCGCAAGAGGGCACTATGTTTTTCTTTCATAGATATTAAGAAGGTATTGCTTTTAATGGGTGTGATTTGCCAACCCTAATCCATCCACACCTCTAAATTTTATCAGAAATGTAAATTTGATATAAAGTATTTTTAGGATGGCTTGAGAATCTATTTTCATCTTTAATTATAAAATTTGAAATTTTAAAAATAGTCCAAATCAAGTAGATCAATAAACAATTAAATTTTTTGAAAATGAACGGTCCAGATAATGTGTTGCAAGATACACTATTTTACAAACTCAAAATCTTATTTTCTTTTCATATTCATACATGTCGATGTCGAGATGATCAATTAGAGGGTTTCTCAACATGCAAACAATTTTTTATGATGGATTTTTGAGGTGCAACTCTAATTCTACATTCTTATATAAACTTTTTCCTTTTATAATAGCTATTGAAAATATTTAATAACGATCAGACCTCTATGAAAAGCAGTAATTTCCGAATCTCCCCTGCCAAACTCCCCTGCCAAAACGAAGGATAATTCAACGGAGTAATTGGGCATGCATTGAAGGCCCCATCTCTTCATTGGGCATGCATTGAAGGCCCCATCTCTCTCTTTCTCTTCTCCTAAAACCCAAGTGAGGTCGTTGAGAATTCTATGCATCTCATAAAACCAGACCAGTAATTTACCATTCTTGACATTTGACAACTCCATATTGAGCAGACCCCCCACCCCATTTTACATATATAAGACTGTGATGGCCCATGGTGTATATGATTGCATCAATCCATGCATGAGATTAACATGAAGATCACAGTAGTGCACATGTTCTTAGCAGCAGCAGCAGCTTTACAAACCCTGCTATGGTGCACCTCGGGGCTCGACATCCGAGAAGTTCGAGCCTTAGCGGCTCGACACAATGTGAGCTGTGTGCTCATCTTTGGGGATTCAACTGTGGATCCAGGGAACAACAACTTCCTCTCCACTGATTTTAAGGGCAATTTTGTGCCTTATGGGAGAGACTTTGCAGGGCATCGTCCGACCGGAAGGCTAACAAATGGAAAACTACCTACTGATTTCATTGGTAAAACATAATAATGATCAATTGTTTTTATTTTTTCATGACTTCTTACTGCCACTACTACTAAATAGCTTGTCTAAACCTAATCCTTTTAATGGATTAATCTTCTGGTTTGTGAGTTAAGTAGGCTTTAGATATTTTTGGCTGTTGATTCTTCATCTGTGGAAAACAAGGGAATATACTTTTTGCCGTTACATGTTACAACCATAATAAGAAAACCATAATAATGATGTTTTGGAAAATAAGGCACTATCCGATTTCCACAAATGTTTTCATTTTTTATTTTTTGATCTCCACAAATGTTTTTATTTTTTATTGTTTTAATTTTTTATTTTTTTTATTTTGTAGGCAGGTTAGTACTTGGAAATTGGCCAATTGGGATGTAGTTTTGCTTTTAACATCAAAGCCCAATCTCAAATCTCAACAAATTGTTAGAGTACCAATGATGTGTACTCACCTAAGCAAAGTTAATCTCGTATCGTCTTTTGTTGGGAAGGATGACCGATGCCTTGGCAAATAGGGCCGGCAATGGGCTGGTTGGCTTGGCCCTCAAAAAAACTAGGACTTGGGTGCGATCCAAGGGCCGGGCCAGGGCACACCAGGCTGGGCAGGGCCAGGGTCAGCTTGGCTCTCTTTTTATTTGTTGTTTTGACCTGGACTCGCGCAGGGGTTGGGGTCGGGCCTTTCAGGCCCAGTTAGGATCGGGCCAGGCCTGGATGGGCACTATGGCAAATAGGGCGTTGCTAGGGCAGGGGTGGCCCAGCTCGTTGCCACCCATATAGGCCGGAGTACCTTAACGACAGTTTCAATGCGGTATAGTTTTCTTTTCAATTCTCAAGGCAGTATCAAAACGATAAATAATTGAATATTTGTTCTTTTTCTTTTTCAGCTGAGTTCTTGGGTTTGAAAAGCATAGTCCCAGCTTTCCTAGATCGAGGTTTGACGATGGAAGAGCTTGTACATGGTGTCAGCTTTGCATCTGCCGCCTCCGGTTACGATGACTTCACCGCTAATATCACAGTACAAGCAAATGCCTTTAATTTCATGTGTTTTTGCTAGTATTAATGTTATTTGTATTATTATTTTTCATTCTATAATTATTAGGGTAAGCGTGTGGTTTAACCAGTGACACATATCTATATAGGAAAACAATGAAACAATTGAAATTAAAAAATAAAGACTTAATGCCTCCCAATTTCCTACTTCATTTGTATACATGGATGAAGGTTTCAGCCAATCCTGTTCCCCTTAATTTTTTATAATAATTTGCTCTTTCAAAGTTTTATTTTCCTGTTTCTTGATTTGTTTGACAGAATGTAATGCCGTTTTCGAAGCAAATAGAGTATTTGAGGCATTACAAGGCCAAACTGGCCAAGTTACTGGGGGTAAAGAGAGCACAAGAAACGATCAATAATGCCGTTTTTATCGTTAGTGCGGGGACTAATGATTTCATCCAAGACTACTACATAGAGCCCCAACGGTCTAAGCAATTTACCGTGGCTCAATATCAAGATTTTCTGGCAAACCACCTACTTCAAGACATCAATGTAAAGTTTGGCTCTTCCTCATGCTCCTTTATCCTATATACTTTGCATTAAGGACGGATACATATCAAGTCAACCTGCAGACAGTTGATTCGTGTCCATGTTTAGATCTGCGTCTTAGACTGAATGGGTTGAGTCCAGATCCGGGTCTAGCCTGGACCATATTTATGCATGGACATGATCTCGTACACACACATATGCGTGAGAATATTTCATATGATATTATAAGATATTATAATATTTTAGTATTTTTGATGTCTCTACCATACCTAGCTTGACAATGACAATAGCAGGGTGGGTCTGGTCCGGGTCCCATTGATTTGGAGTCATGACCAGGTCTCACTTGGGACCAATCAGATCGGAATCGACCTGGACCCAACCCAATTACAGTCCTACTTATTGCTAAAACATTTCTCTCTAGGAAATGTATAGAGTTGGAGGGAGACGATTTGCTGTGGTTGGAGTCCCTCCATTAGGATGTTTGCCTCTTGTTAAGACACTGTGGGGGGAGGTGGATTGTGTCACGAACCTCAATGAAGTTGCCGTCGCATTCAACCGCAAGATTAACAGCACTCTCACTTCGTTCATAAAAATGTTGGGTCCTGATGCCAGAGCTGTTTATTTTGACATATACAGCATCCTACTAGATGCAGTGAAAAATCCCATGAAATATGGTAAGAGAGAACCTTCCTTGTTTCCTTGTAAGTGCTTTGGAAATTTGAGACTATACTTTCTGTTTTGTTGGATTTTAATTTGTGAACATATCAGGTTTCACGGAGTCTTCAAAGGGTTGTTGTGGGACAGGGATGATCGAATTTGGCCAATCTTGCAAAGGCATGGGCACCTGCAAGGATCCTTCCAAATATGTTTTCTGGGATTCTGTACATCCCACAGAAAGAATGTATCATCTCATAGCAAGCTACGGCGTTACGAGGGATGTTGTTAAGATCTTGGTTTGAAATTTTCAAGATCTCTTGCATACATACCTTATGTTCAAGAAGCAGGCACCCTATGTTAATTTTGTTAGATCTACTGAGCTAAATTTAGTGCAGTATCAATGAAACAGAACCAGTTAAATAAAAACGAAAGAGTTTGATTGTTGTGTCCTCTTTATAGTCCATATATCTCATGATTTTGGAGTGTAACTAGGATTTTCAATACCTTGACCTTCATATAAATGCTGCAGCCCACAGAGTAGGGTTTTCAATGTCGCAAGGGATTGATCTACCATTGAAGCACATCTGATGCACCTAGTATTTGAATTTAAAAATGTCAACAAAGGACAGTTTGGGTGTATTATCGATATTGAGAGGAGGAACAACCCTCTGTCATTGTTAACACAGATATGGATGAACAAGTCTTTTGCATTATCTAACAATTCTGACCAACTAGTTATGGAAAAGTCTATTGTGAGTCCATCATGGTTTTCGATGAAATTAGAACATAACAAATACATCTTAAATAATTGTAAATACACTTTGGCCACATATCCATCCTTTTGGGGCTCCAATAATATTGCAGATCTCATGATTTGGAAAAACAGTAAAATGAATGTAAGAAAAGACAATTAAAAAGTACTGCTTTAAATTTAATTTAATTTGATTCTTTCCATATTCATGATTGCCTTGATCGAGACTATAACCCCTAAAATTTTTAGGTCTATCCGGAGAGGAGGGGTTGCATAAAAATGGGTAAAATATCACCCATTAGTAATTATATAATGGACAGTTTTTATGAGTTCCACAACTCATATGTAGAAATCAGTTCCCTCTTAAAATTCTATTTTTGCGATGGATTTTGGATCCAAGGTTTTAGGAATATAGGATCTCTAACATGAAGATCATTAATATGTAAGAGAAATAAATTTTGAAAAGTGAAAATAATAGTTTTATGATTTACATGCCCTTCTCACTTATGTGGCCGAGTTGCTTGTGCTCTAGGTCCGATGAATATTTATACGCGACAACATTAACCTCACCATTGGAAGTATTCAACTGTGTTTTCTTCAGGAAACAACACTTATTTCCTTTAGTAACAATAAGAGATCCCTTTGTTAGTTCATGTGTCCCTTATCAAATACTAAAATTGTACACTTCTTAGCATCCTCTTGAACTGAGGTTTAGATAAAGATATGGTACATGTCAGACATTCTTTTGCGGTAGCATTGTCCCAATCTCACTTTTGATATGTACATCACCTCTTCCCACAGCCTTTGAAGGACCACTTTTCCCCATCTTCATTGAGGCAAAATCTCCCCCTTCTGTATGACGAAAAACGGTGTCTATATGGGGAAACATGAAAATGATGCTGTGGTATCTACAACCCAATTATAGTTGCATGAAATTCATCCAATAATGATGCAATCATCACCACAATTTTCGACTACACCAACATGATCTTCGATGCCACTGCAGGTGGTCTCTACCGCCATCCTGGTATTGTCCTCTTTCTGTTCTCTTTAGATCCTTCAAGATCTTGCAATAGTGCAAAACACATCATCCCTTTTTGGAATTTGCCCCTAAACTTTATGTGATTTGTGACAAGAGCTTCTGAAGTGGATGTATTGCATGATTTTTCTTTTCATCTCCTCATTCAATAAACTAATTTTAGATTGACTCGGGGTCACTTTGCACTTTGCTGTTAAGTAGCTCATGGAGATCACCAATACCACCCAATTATTCGTGAGCTGATGACAATGCCCTACATCTCATTTAGATGCTCTGCAATGGAACCTCTGTACTTGAATTTCAAATTCACCAGCTTTTAGATCAAGAACGTCTTGTTCTCAGTTGTTTTTCTCATGAGCAGATCTTGTAGCTTGTTATATAGAGACTTGGCAGACATCTCACTTGACATATGGTAGAAAACAACATTGTCCGGCCATTTTCGGATTATACCAATAGTGTTGAGCAAAATCATCCTACTCGCTGTACTAGAATCCATCTTTTTATCTATGCACATGACCAAAAAAATGCTCCATTCTAATCTACTCACACGTGGTATGGCTTTACAATAAACTCACCGGCTGTTGAAACTCACATGTGGTGAAAACTCACCGGCGGTGGGAGCAACTGTGGAAACTCACCAGTGATGACAACTCATTGGCTGTTGAAACTCACCGACAATGAAATATCACTGTTGTGGAAACTCACCAATGGCAGAAACTTACTTCACCAATAGTTAAATTTTCTACCAGTGATATAGGGAGAACATTGATAGTCTGAGATCTTTCCACCAACAGTGCACACTAACTAATTGATACTGTGACCCAAATAATCTTCTCGTACCCACCATTGAAAAAATTTGAGCTTCGGAGGATACCCGCTTGGATGGCTCTAATACCACTTTGTTTGGCTTAGGCCAACAGTTTCTCTCACAATAATGCAGATAAAAGCGACAGAATATGTTTCTGCTTTGTACCTTTTGGACCAAAGGTTGAACACTTAGGTATGCCTGCGTGCATGTGTGTCAAGTAAGAAATATGAAACAAGCAAACTAGCGAGCATCAAATCAGGGTTTGAAAACTCGCCGAGTCGAATTGGACTCGCTCAGTTTGACTCGAGAATCGGCAGACACCGTGCCAGTTCCACTATGAAATCGGGAATCGCCCGTGTCCAGAGAGAACCGGGCGATTCCCAATAGTGAATCGCCGAGTCTCGCCTAAGAACATGGGTTGCACAGTGTTCTTTACGAATTTCATATTTTTTGTCATTTTCTTATCATTTTTCATCCTTTTCAGCCTTATAATCGAATCTTGCAGGCTTTAATTCAAATTTTTCAGTCATTTCAGTCAATAAAAGGTAGTAAAAATCACTGATTTTGATCAAAAAAATTTGGATCGAAAAGTGAGTTTTAGGGTTTCCACCATTTCACTAATTTCAAGCGAAAGAGGGCATCATTTTTTGTAAACTTTCAGGGTGATTGATTGTAAGAGTGTTGTTCAGAAGTTTTTGTTCATAATTTGTGATTATTTTAGAGGAATACATATCAATTTTGAATTTGAAGGCACGGGTACACGAAAAACAGGTAAGAACTGTATTTTTTTTTTTGTTTCCTCTATTCTATCAAATTTACTCAATATTTTGCAAATAATATGTTAAATTTATAAGCGTTTGATTAGTTATAATATTGTTTATTATCACATGTATTCAATTTGATTATATTTATTCAATTTGAGTTGGATTTTTGAGAAAAAAAGGCTTATGTCTATGAAAAAAAATGGACTGAGTTTTTTTTTTTTTCTGCCATTCTCTCAATTTCAGTAAATATTTTGCAAATAATTTGTTAAATTTATAAGGCTTTGATTCGTTGTAGTATTGTTTATCATCACATGTATTCAATTTCATTTGATTTATTCAATTTGAGCTTGATTTTTGAGATTGAATAACTTATGTCTGTGAAGAACTGCGTTTTTTTTTTCCCCTCAATTCAATCGATTTTATTTAATATTTTGATAATAATGTGTTAATATTATAGAGCTTTGATTCCTTATGGTGTTATTTATCAAAACATGTATTCAATTTGATGTAATTTATTCGATTTGAGGTGGATTTTTTAGTTGGAATGACTGATGTCAGGTGGGTCTGTGAAGAACTGCGTTTTTTTTTTTTTTTTTTAAATTCATGATCAATTTTTTTGAAAAATCGTGATTTTCTGAAAAATTGTGACCAGTTTTTTATTATCATGAGGAATTAAACAATATTTTTAATTTTTATTGTTAAATTTCTAGTTAAAAAAATTGCATGTTGATAGATTATTTATGCAAAAAAATACATGTTATTATATTTTAATGACAAAACTGTATTTTTAATTTGACGTTAATGCAAAAAAATACATTAACTAATACATGCTGTTAAACTGTAATTTATTTTTAATGCAGTTTTGCATTAAAAATGTATTTTTAATTTTTAAATTTTTAATGCAAAAAATACATGTTGTTAAACTGTATTATCATGAGGAATTAAAGTGAATATCATTGTAAAAAAATCATGGCATGTATGATAATTATATTATCTTGCATTTTTCAATTTTATTATTAAATTTTTAATGCAAAAAATGTATGTTCTTGATAATTGAGTTGTAGCCATGTTTGGAGCTTGCATTTTTTGACTATATCATTGTAAATTTTATTTGTGGCATTGTGAATGACTATATCATTGTAAATGTTTTTTGTGTCAAATATACGTTTAGTGGTATTATGGATATTTCTTGATTCTAAGTGTGACTTATGCAGATTTTTTTTATCTATAATGTTGCATAATTTTTTTTTTTTCTCAATAGGAACTAATTCATGTTTGTTGAAATGAAGATTTGTGACAAATCCATATGTATTGGCATTGTGAATTACTATACCATTGTAAATATATTTTTTATTGATACTATATCAATGTAAATTTTTTGTTCTATACGTAGTGGCTGATATAGGCTATTTTTTTCTATAATGTTGCATAAATAAATTATTTTTCCCAGTAGGAATTACAATATTTTTGTCAAGTATTTTGCATTAACAACAAATATAACTTCATGAACTACCCCTACATATTATCACTACACATGGTGATTATTTTTCATGTTGAACTGTCAGGTTAATTTTTAACTTTTTACATATTAAAGTTGAACCATGGCAAGATCTGTGGAAGATCCTGCATGATAACATGGGGTCAGACTTGATCCCAACAAAAAAGACAAAATTATTTGTAATTATTGCCAAAGAGTGATAAGTAGTGGGGTACATAATTTCAAGCAACACTTGATAGGGGTTAAGGGAGATGTTTTTGCATGCAATAGTATATCTAATAATGTAAGAAAGCAGATGACAATATTTCTCAAGGCTACCAAAGGTGAAAAAATTGCAAAGCAGATGATGGATGAGGAGATAGCTAGTTTATATACGCCATCAAGTGAGAATGATCCAAAAGAGCAATATAATAATGACTTCGAGATAACCATAAGAATGAGTTTACAGAAAACATACCAGAGGAAACATGGGTTTAGAATGCCTGGTAGTTATGACATGGGCATGCATGGTGGGCCTAGCTCAAACATGCATGGCGGGTTTAGCTCGAGCATGTATGGCAGGCCCAGCTCAAATATATATGGAGGGGTTGGTGGCAATATGTATCAAGAGGAATCAGACGTTGAAGAAATTATTTCTAGCGTATCTAGGAGTGTCAGTATTGCAGGTCATGGTTATATAGACCCATTTCTCTCAAAGCCTAAGTCAGAACAGATGACCCTTAAAGGCATGGTCGAAGGTACGAAAAACATGTTGGGCAGATATGTTGGTAAATAGTTCTACGATAAAGGGATCCCCTTTGATGCAGCCAATAGCCCATATTTTCTACTTATGTTCAACGCAATCTAGAGAGCTGAGCCTGGGGTAGAACCCCCGACGGCATATGAGCTCAATGGGCCAATATTGGATGTAGAGGTGGAGGAAGTTAGAAAGTAGATTGAAGAATATAAACAGAGTTGGCTAAGAACAGACATTACTCTCATAAGTGATGGTTGGTTGAATAAAGTTAGTGAAAATGAGTTTGTAAATTTCTTGGCCTATTCCCCCAAAAGGTACAACTTTTTTGTCTAATAAAGACGTATCAGGGACGAAAAAGGATGCAAACTTCTGGGGTCTTATCCTACATGAAATAATGCTAGTCCTTCTTTTACCAAATTGCCATTAAGGTCCCTCCTCATGAATGGGATACCCTAGCATTCTAAGTATTGAGAAAATTTCTCGTGTCGCATGCCAATATGCTTAGATTCTCCTTTGCATAAAGTAACATAAAGGCTCCTCATTTATCGAGTTCACACTCAAGGATATTTTATTACACTGGATAAGGGCAATATTTCAGCAAGCTAACTATTCAAACACTTATTATTTCATCACGCTAATTTGTTAAGAATATCAACAAAGAACCCACAATCTTCTGCTCTACTTAGAGATTTTATTTAGGAAAAAGTATATAAAGCAACCATGTACCTTTAGCACAAGGGCTCGCAGATCACTCCTGTCTTTTGTAATTTAAGTCGGGTACAAGCTCTTTGCAAGAAAGATAAATGGTCTCATAGTATAGTCCCTAGCCCAATAAACTTGAAACTATTGGTGCCAAATAGTTTCAGCAGCTGATATCCCTGTTGTGTTGGGTGGAAGGAGTCCCAAAAAACATATTTGGATGCGCCGGCACATACGGGAGATTTAGCATTACATAAAATCGCTGTTTCTATCAATCCCGTTCTAGAGCAATCTCTTCTAATCTCTTCAAAGCTTGAAAATGAGTAAGGTACATGGTAAAATATATTGTGATCAATGGTGGTGAAAATACAATAGTGGTGTGTTACATTAACATTTATTGTGCATCCAATATTACATAAACAAGTAATAAAAAGAATATGGCATCAAAGTAATCACATAGATTGAAAATACAACAACAATAATACCATATGAGACAAAGATTTAATGTGGTTCATCTACAAATCGTGTCCTACATCTACAAAAGAATGGTGTGAGGCTTTACTTACTAGTTCAATGGAGATTATAAGAGAATGATATCCAAAGCTTCAAGTTACAACAGTTTTACTTCTGTAGAAATATGACAACAAATAGGGTACAAATACACACCAAATATGCACTTTCTCTCTCTGAGATAGGGCCAACCAACAAAACTCCCTCTTCTATCACTTTCTCTCACTAAAAATCTGCGAAGAGAAACAAGGCAGAAAAACCCATCGTGAGTTCTCTTTCACTTCTTCCTTTTTCTCTCAGCACACCCCAACCCTTGGATCAAATAACTAATCCATGGCCTAAAAGAAGAAAAGTCAATAGAAAATATAAACAAAAGAAACCTAAAGCCCACATTTGTGATTTGGCTTCACAGATACAATGAAAGGATTCTAATAAAATCATGGTCTATGTTTCTCCTACAATACAAAACTTATATACTTCCCCTTATCCAACCGTCCATTTTGAATGGAGGGTTAAGATTGTCCCAATCACAATGTCACGGCTCTAATCCATTTTATTTTTAATGTTTTTTCTATAAACTATTTTGAAAATTTTGTAAGTCCAATCCTCTATTAAACTCACACTAGCAAAAATTATATAAAAAATATTTTGACCAAAATAAAATAACAAAAATACCTCTGAAAGTTTCAAGGGGTATTTTGGTCATTACATTTTATCAAAAATTATTTTTAATATTTTTTGTAGGTGTGCCTTAATGAGAATATGGCACGTACCAAATTTCATATTCATACATTTTTTATAATAAAGTTAAAATAAAATACTTTGAGACGTCGGATCTAAGATCAAATGGTGAGTGGCTCTCTAGATTAAAATTAGACGGCTGGCTGGATGGTAGGGGAAGCATAGATCTTCTATGCTGTAGGGGAATCCCTAAAAATGGGCAAGCTTTTTATGCTTCCCCTACAACACAAAACTTATACATGTCCCTTTATCCAACCATCCATTCTGAATGGAGGGCTAAGATTGTCCTAATCACAATGTCCATTTTATTTTTACTATTTTTGCTATAAACTATTTTGACACCAAATTTTGTACGTCCAATCCTCTATTAAACTCACACTAGCAAAAAATATAAAAAACATATTTCCAATAAAATAAAATGATAAAAATACCCCTGAAAATTTCAAGGGGTATTTTGATCATTGTATTTTATCAAAAAATTATTTTTAATATTTTTTGTAGGTACGCCATAATGAGAATATGGTACACACCAAATTTCTTATTCATAAAATATTTATAAAAAAATTTAAAAATAGAATACTTTGAGACGTTCTAAGATCAAACGGTGAGTGGTTCTCTGGATCGAAATTGGATGGCTGGATGGTAGGGGAAGCATACATCTTCTATGCTGTAAGGGAAGAAACCTTTCCCTAAAAGCAGACAAGATTTCTATACTTTCCTTACAACACAAAGCTTATTTACTTCCCCTTATCCAACTGTCCATTCTGAATGGAAGGCTAAGATGGTCCCGATCACAATGTCATGTCTCTATACCATTTTATTTTTAATGTTTTTTTATGAACTATTGTAATACCAAAATTTGTACAACCAATCCTCTATGAAACTCGTACTAGCAAAAAATATAAAAAAAAATATTTTCTATAAAATAAAATCACAAAAATACCCCTGAAAGTTTCAAGCGATAGTTTGGTCATCATATTTTATCGAAAATTTATTTTTAATATTTTTTTGTAGGTGCGCCCTAACGAGAATATGGCACGTACCAATTTTCTTATCATCATATTTTTATAAATAAAAATTAAAAATTAAATACTTTGAGACATCAAATCTATGATCAAACAGTCTCTGAATCAAAATTGGACGGCCGGATGGTAGGGGAAGTATAGATCTTCTATATGGTAGGGGAAGTATAAAAACCTTTCGGGCAAACTTTCTATGCTTCCCATACAACACAAAACTTATGTACTTCTTCCCCTTATCCAACCATCCATTTTGAATGGAGGGCTAATATTATTTCAATCACAATGTCACGTCTCTACACCATTTTATTTTTAATGTTTTTTCTATAAATATTTTGACACTAAATTTTGTAGGTCGAATCCTCTATTAAACTTTCACTAGCGAAAAATATATAAAAAAATATTTTTATTAAAATAAAATGACAAAAATACCCTTAAAATTTTCAAGGGTTATTTTGGTCATTATATTTTATCAAAAAATTATTTTTAATATTTTTTGTAGGTGCTCCCTAATGAGAATATGGCAGTAAAAAATTTCATATTCATAAAATTTTTATAAAAAAATTAAAAATAAAATACTTTGAGACGTCGGATCTAAGATCAAATGGTGAGTGGCTCTCTGGATCAAAAGTGGACGGCTGGATGGTGAGGGAAGCATAGATCTTCTATGCTGTAGGGGAGGTATAGAAACCTTTTGGGCAAACTTTCTATGCTTCTCCTACAAAATGACTTATACACTTCCCCTTATCCAACCATCCATTCTGAATGGAGGGCTAAGATTGTCTCAATCACAATGTCATGTCTCTACACAATTTTATTTTTAATGTTTTTTCTATAAACTATTTTGATACCAAATTTTGTATGTCTAATCCTCTATTAAACTCGCACTAGCGAAAAATATAAAAAAAATATTTTCAATAAATAAAATAACAAAAATACCCCTAAAAGTTTCAAGAGGTATTTTGGTCATTATATGTTATCAAAAAATTATTTTTAATATTTTTTGTAGGTGCGTCTTAATGAGAGTATGTCACATACCAAATTTCATATTCATACAATTTTATAAAAAATTTAAAAATAAAATATTTTGAGATGTCAGATCTAAGATCAAAAGGTGAGGGGCTCTCTAGATCAAAATTGGATGGCTAGATGGCTGTAGTGGAAGTATAGAAACCTTTCCCATATATCATGGTGTATCCATATAGTGTATTTATCATGGTGTATTCATATGGGGTATTTTTTTTTTATACCTACTAAATAGGTGTATTTTAAAATTTCTAATATTTTTAAACTTAACCGATTTTTTGACTCCGATTTGTTGAGCTTGGTCTGATATATTTGCGATATCTTTACATGAAGTATTTTTCCTGATCTGTATTTTTTACTCGATTTTTTCATCAGACTTTTTAAAATAAAAATGATTTATTTCCGATTTTATGGTGAGCCGAATTATTGATAGTCCCCGACTTGCTAACTATGCTCATAACCCATATAAAATTGTAATTCAAGCGTTGAAAACCTTTACATCGATCATCTTGGCTTGAACATTATAGTTATGAAAAAAAATTAGGATTTCAAGCTCTAAAAAATAACGTATATTATAACAAGTTATCTATACCGTCTATTTCGCCCTAAAAATAAAAGTTTATAGATCCACAAGATTTGAATATTTTTTTAGTGTCAAAATTTTTTATCCACGTCAGAAATTGATTTTAGAGTCGTCATGGAGATTTATGATAGTGAAGTACTTTTTGGACAGGGATTTATGTTAGTGAAATACTTTTTGTTTTCATAAAGCCTACGCTTTATAGAATTTTCATCCAAACATAAAAGCTAGAAGGATTTGATGGAACAAGTCACCCTTTTCTAATGAGATTCAATCTCCAGAGTTTCTATCTTCGATAGGTTCTCCTTCTCTATTGGATCACATCTCTCTCTTGTTTCCCTCTATTGGTTTCCTTCTCTCTATGTGGCGGCTCTCACAATCGGGTCTCTTTTTCTACAATCTCTCGTCAACTGAGGGCATAACATATATTTATGGGTTTAATTAGGGTTAAGTTTAACCCGTTCCACTTAATTGTTGTTTCATAATTTCTTGGGATAGTAGGGTCATAACTTCATGGAAATAACTCCCAAATCCTCCTCCTTATGTCAAATTGCCATAAGGGTCTCTCATGAAGGGGATATCCCAAAATTATAAAAGAAATACTTATGTGATCTTTTATCGGAGAGTATTATTTTTTATTTTTTTCTTCACCCTTTTTATTTGGCAAAAAATAATTTACAGGTGATCTTTATTACAATAAGATAAATTTCAAAATAAAATCAACATAATAATAAAACCAAGATTTTAACAACTTGATGCTATTGAAACAACTATGCACTATGCTTGAGAATAAAAGATAAGATTGCAAGAAACAAAAGAAAGAGTGCCGGAGATTACCTCAACTGGGCTTATTACACCCCACACTAATTCACCACCATTCGATGGCAAGGGATCAATGATCAACCTTCATTCTCAATCGGGAAAACAAGTTTAGGCCTAGCCATATCAATAGAATAACTTTTATCACAAACTCAAACCCTAAGTGAATTATCTTAGCAACCTAGTTTGAGATAGATGAATTATCTTTTTGCTAAATCTTAAAACCCCTAGCCATAAATCCATAGTCGAGAGATAAGAACTTCATAACCTAATCCTTAAGTTCTTTCACAATGTGGGAGAGAGAGATCAAAGATGAGAGAGTGGTGCGTGCCCCCTTTGGCTTTCATGAGAGAGGGAAGCTTTTTTTAAAAGAGAAAAAGAAATTCTAAGTAAGGCATGCCCCTTTGTGGGATATGAGAGAAAAAGATGAGAATTCGGTACAAGAGATAAGGTGTAGAGATTTTTGGGTAGAGACTATCCCTTTTTATAAGCTTTGAATAAGATTAGAGTTTCTTAGGGTTTTCTTTGGCTTGCCTCTTCTTGTGAGATTGAATATGAATCTTTGATCTTGGGTGACTTGTGGAGTGAGAGATTTGAGCCATCCATTCCATAGATGGGCCATCAACATTATGGAAGGTGTATGAATTCATTATCCCCATTTTCTAAACCATTTTCTCATAAATAGAAATTAAATAAATTAAATCTAATCAAAATATTGTACATACCATAAAATAGCACAAGTCTACCCAATCTTTCTACAAAATCTTTCAAAGATATATCAAGTCAATATAAATTTAAAATACATGCTTAGCCTTCATAAATCATTTTATCGCATTCACCGTTAATTTCCTACCAAGTCAAGTTCATAGCCACAAAAACAAATTATATATATCAACTTATAATTTTATCCAAAATAAAGCATGACTAAATAATGTCTATTAAAGCCTTGACAAAATACTTTATTTTTGGCAATTACGGAGAATTTATTAAGGGATCATCATCACATGCAACACATCATATTATAGACATTATTGAGAGGATGGTCACCAAGACCGAGTTCCACCAGAACACTCCCTTTGTACTTACATATTTGAATGAGCTACACCCATCTCTCGTGTTTC